AGAGTTAAGGGGGTGGGCCTGGGTAACGAGATGGGAGGTGGAAAGGAAATGGGGTGGTGAAATGAAGGAAGTCAACCACTGAAGGTTAAAATAGAAAGAAGAATTCAAAAAAGGAAGCAAATTAAAGGTCTTATGTTTTAACAAACTGTGTTTTGGATTTGGGGTGTGGAAGGTGCTGGTCACATTTCTCAGGGTGGCTAGGAGGTGTGAGTGGTGAGGGAAGGCACTTTTGAAAGAGCTACTGCCCCTGTCCCAGGAAGGAAGTCCCAGCTCACAGGGACATGAGAGTCCCCTACCTTGTTCTCCCCGACTCCTGGACCAGTCCATGGTCTGCGACTTGGCTAGCTGGCACATGCTCTGCAGGATGTTTGCATGGACTTGCACCCCTGGGAGTGGGAAGGTCACATGCCCAGGAGTTGGGGGAGGTGGGGGGGAAGGTGACACTGCATCTTGGGATGCTGGAGGACCACAACTTGGTGGCTCATCTGTGGGGGGGTGGTCACACATTGATGGAACACGAGCTGGGTAACATGGATCAGAAATAACCTGCCCTGGAGTGGAGTAACTTTAAGCCACCTAAAGTGTACTTAAAACTAGTTTAAGATGTTAATGTGTGGACAATCCAGGGGTTAAGAGCTTCAGGACCTGCCTAAAACCAATGTGTAACAAGGCCCCAAGGTGTCACTCTGCCTTGCCTTCTACCTGACCTCAAGCTAACCCAACTAACTACCCCTCTCTAGAGCTATGTAAAAGGACAAAAGTTCCATTTTACGAAGGAGTTAAAAGTTACACATGTGGCTGTATTCCAAATCAGAACTAAAACCAAACAAAAAAGATCTGAAGGAAAAGTCTGAAAAAAATTATTTTGCATGAAAACATGATTTCAATTTAAGAATATTAGCACATTACATTTTTTAATTTTATTTTGCATTATAAGAAGCTTTTTCAGAAAAAAAAATAATTTCCAAAAAGTACCTTAACAGAATGTTTCATGAGACTCAACTCCCCCCTCACCGGGTATTTTCTTCCTAAATGAAATTCAGACTCCAGAGTATTTCAATAGTGACAGAACTGCACAATCAGTGGAGTATTATTCTTTCAGAATTACTCAGGACAGCTCTACTATGCACACATCCCTCAAGAGAGTTTGCCTTTTCTAAAAAAAAGGATGGGGAAATCCTTCTCTGCGTCAGCTTTAAGTGATTTGCCAAAGGTGAGCAATTCATCTGGTTCCCTTATTCCAAGACACTAGAATCAGCAAAACAGCGATAGTCTCTCTTCCTGCTGCCTCATAACCAATGATTGAAAGTTACAGTCCTGCCATCCTTAGATTGGTCCAGTGAAAGAGCTACAATCAAGGATTCAAAATGATTGGACATCATTTAGAAACTCAGCCTAGGGGAAGTACAACAAATGGATTCTCAACACAATCTTCTGTTGACCAACAGTTACAATAAGAACATCCTACCGTCCGTCTGTCTCAGAACTGTCTTGTTCTTTTGCAGAAGCCATTTCAGCTGGAGTTATATACATTTTGAAAAATGCTTAGTGTTTTTGCTAACTCACGGTGAAGCCTACCAAATGCACGTGCTGTAGCTATTAAGATAAAACATACCTGTTTCTAACCGTGACGAATACTGATACAAAAAATATAAGTTCACCAAATACAGAAATCCAGTTCCTGGACCCACTGGAAAGTAGAACGTTGCTGTTATCGGCCGCCAGATCTGTTCAGAAGAAAAAAAATAGAAGGAGTACAGGCATAATTGTAAAAGAATTATAATCATGGTGCTTAGTCTGTTACCATACAACAGAGAAGATGAAAGAAGTTTTAAAATATCCCAGCCAATCAAAATATTTTATGTGGAACCCCCTTTACTTCAGGTGTTCAAGTCCACGATGCATAGGCATTTGTCAGGGATTGTTTGGAATAACAAGTCCTGAGTTTGTGCATAGGGTTGGACTAGAGGAGGGGTGCTCAGCCTCTGGCCCAGGGACCAAATCTGGCTTGCAGAGCCATGATATCCAGCCTGCAGGAATCCCTGCACATCCAGATCAGGGCTGCTGTGTATTGCCCCTTCCTTGTGCATCCAAATCAAGGCCACTACCCACCCCATACCAGTGGATGGATCAGGACTGAGCTGAGCACCCACTCGCAGCAGCATAGGGCTCTGCCTGCCAACCCCAATGCTTGTTCAAGCCCATCAACTGGATCCAGCCCACCTGGCCTGTAGGGTGTTAATGTTGAGTAACACTGAACTAGAGAACCCTGAAGTCCTTTTCAGCCCCATGATTCAGGTAGTGTTACTGCCACTTTTGTATTGCCTGGTATGATTAGTTAAGCTATTTAGTAGCCATCAGATGTTAAACTTTGATAGTTTCCAGCACACTTTTACAACATCGCATACATTCCCCCCCCTCCCCCAAGTGTCCTGCAGACAGGCAGCACTCACAGCTGTTCATCTGGGGACCCCATCTCCTGCTAGCCCCCATGACAGATACTGCTTCACTCCAAGCAGCGCACATTGCTGCAGGCAGACAGGAGATGTAGGGCCATGCTTTTCACCCCAGCTCATTCCCTTGCCCCTCCCAATCTCCCAGGGCCAGCTCCTGAGCCCACCAGGACTGAGTGTCACCAGTGTAAACTGGCTGATACGCCTTGATCTCCCTTGTGTGTCCTGTTGCTCATCCCCTTGCCTCTCCAAATCCTCAGCGCCCATCACATGCCATTTCTGTGCAGCCCAACACCTGCTAGACAGGTGTCTTTAGAGTCTTGTCTGTTACAGGCCCAGGACCAGAGGTGGAGGGAGGGAGACAGGGGGAACTGCCCTGGGGTAACAAGGGCAGAAACTGGCCCACAAGTCCCTGAGGTGGTACAGAGCCATATGCAAGGAGTCTACATGCCACATTGCAAGTAAATGTGCACAGGGCCAGGCAGGGCTGGGAAAGCACTTCTTGCTGGCAGCCTGAAAAGGGAATATTATATTTGTATTATATTTGATATTATGGTATAATATATCAGTATCATTCATTAAATTAATTGACAATATAATTCTGTTTATAGCATAACATTCACAGTGTGCATGTAAGTGTTTCAAATGGGGTGCTATTGAACTCTGAGGTCAGAGAGGTGCTTTGAGTACAATGAGGTTGACAGCCACTGCTTCAGATGCCCCAGCCTACAGAAATTCAGAATGATAGGTTTGGACCTCAAGCTTCACAGTTCAGGAGGGACTAGCACAATAAGCATGTGACTTCAACTCTTCAGGTCATAACTACTTTGGGTCAGTATGTGGAAAAGGGAGACAGCTTGAAGGCTTGAAATGACAAAGCAGGGCTGTCCAACTGGTGGCCTACAGGCTCCTGCCCAACTGCCACTCCTGGGGCTTGTGTGGCAGGGTGGGCTTGCACTGCCCATGTGGCAACAGCCAGGGTAGGACTGGGAGCGCATCCATGCAGATGCAGTGCACAGAAGGGGTGTGGGGAAAGGGGACTTGGCTCTACACACACAGCAGGGGTCCAGGAGCCCACAGGACATGGCAACCCGTTTGGCATGCAACCTACATGGTATGCAGCCCCAGGCTCACAACTGATGTGGCATGCAGCTTCCGGGCCCCCCTGAAGTTGGGCAGCCTTAACAGAACCTTACAGGATGGGGATCTTTTCTTTCCTTCCCAACTGTTTTAGATGGGAAGGGCAACATGGTATCTTATTGCCTGTGTGTAAGCTCACAGAAAATGAACCAATTGTTTTGTGCTGCAAGGGAGGCCCTCCATCATCCGTCTCTCACCCAAAAACTTAATGGGCACCCTGAATAGTCTCATGCCAACAATTCATGCTCCAAGAACTTAGGGATGTTGGTCACTGGGCTCCTACTAGACTATGACTTAAACACCTTGACTCCCCCACCATGCACCCTTCCCAAAACTCCAAGCAAAAAGGCAACGAGCCAACCAAGAGGGAGCAGAAGATGAACTCTGCTAGTCCCACCCAGAGTCCTCCCACATCTGTCCCAGATGCAGTCAGCATCTTGTAACACCCCTCTACCCTCCTCCATCACAACAATTAGCAGAGGCTGAGTTCATTGATAGCAAAGTTCTAAGCGTAAAACTTTAACTATTAAAATAGTAACTGCTTTGCATCAATATATGGAAAGAGACAGACCGTACAAACATATTACCCTATCAAAGTTGCAAAGAACTTGGTTCCAACTACTCAGCTGGTCTAATAAAAGCTATCACATCTACCCAAAGAACCTGGCCTGCCTATGCTGTTATAGACCAAGGCAGCTACAACCAAAAACCTCTATCAAAATTGATAAACTCAGCTTTTCTAATATTTGTTCTAGCTCACCAAGTCAGACTAAAACTTTGCAACAATTAAGGCTAAACTAAACCTTGTCATCCTATTTTTGGAGAGGAAGATGCAAAAAGCCCCACCTTGTACAGGCACAAATGAGGCGTACCCAGGAGTGTCAAGATAGAGTTTTAAGCCAATAGGTACACAGAAATGATTATAAAGCACGTTTATGCATTAGAGCAGGTACAAGTGCAGAAAGAGGGATCAGACACGTCTTCGAGACTGCCGAGCTGACATGTTGCCTCGCAGACCCAAAGAGTTGTCTGAACACTGCTCTCTCGGATGCAGCATCCGCTCAGCATGGGAATTAACTCGCTGCTTAGTGCGCTGCGTTTCTCTTTTACGAAAGGCACTTTATGGGGGGAAGGCTGGTCTCTCCATGAATGTCTCAAGCCTGACCTCACCTTAAGCAAAACTGGGCAGCAAGCACAGTTAGTGGTATGGAGGAGCTTTCATATGAGGACGCTAAAGAGGCTGGACTTATTTAGACAAAAAAAAAGAAATGCCTGAGGGGGGACATACAGGTGTAGAAAATCCTGTACAAAACGGCACAGAGAAAGTCAACAGGGATTTATGATTTCCTCCCTCTCTCAATATGTGAACTAAGGATCGCCAAATGCAATTTGCTACCTACTCATTTCACAAAATGAAATGAGTAGGTAACAGGCATTAAGCTGAGCGCAGGAAGTTTTTTCACATGGCGCACGTCATTCAAGCGTGATGCCCACTGCCACCAGATGCTGTGGGCCCCAACAGTGCAGCTGGGTTCAAACAGGGAATGGGCAAGTGCTTGCAGGAAAGGGGCATGAGGAGCAGGGGGGTGAGGCAGACAGCATCAGAAGCTGAACTTCCTAAACCTTAAATGCTGGAGGCCAAGAGAAAGAGGCACAGCAGAGAAAACCCCAGTCAGAGGGCCCTCACTCTCCCCATCAGCGCCTGCACCTGCCCTTTTTAACACGGGGAGGGATCTCCTGGGCCAGGCCTGCCAAGGAAGTTATAAGCCACCTTTAATACACGGGTACTAGCGCTGCGTTGCTGAGCACTTGGGACAAGGACCAATGAAACGGGGCCTGGGGAGAGCGCAGATTCAGCACAAGAGAGCGGGGGGCGGGAGCAGAGCAGGGCACAGCGCCCGCCGCCCTCAAAACAGCCCAGCGCCAAGGGGCGGCGCCCCAGCATCCACCGCGCGCCGGACTACAGCTCCCAGCAGGCTCCGCGCGGCGCCGCCGAGCCGCCGGGTGCGCCAAGTCCGCGCGGCATGCCGGAAGCTGTAGTGCAGGCCCTACCTGGAAGCGGCCGAGGAAGGCGTCTGGCCAGAGGAAGAGGTACACTGGGCTGACGAGGCCCAGCTTGCCCACGAGCGGCAGCGCGATGGACCCGGCGAACCAGTAGCGGGTGATGAGCGGGATGCTCCGGAACCAATCCCCCAGGTCCGACATGACCGGACCTAGTCGCTGCTCCGCCACGGGGGAGGCGCTGGCGTTGAGGGTGGTGTGGCTCCTTCGAGTTCGGCTGAGCCGCAGCCACTTCCGGCTCCGCCCCTCCGTGCTGCGGCACGGCGCCGGAAGTCCCGCCTCTTAAAGGGGCCGCGCACCACTTCACACCTTCACCACCCCCGGGTTCTTCCCGGAGGGGCTGAGACTTCGTGTTGTAGAAATCAGCACACCCGGGGGGACACGGGGAGGAGAGAGAGAAATAGACATCATATATAGATAGAGATAGTTAACTATGGATATAGAGAGATAGGTAGATATAGACATGTAGAGGTAGAGATAGATAGAGAGAGAAAAACATGTATAGAGATAGCTATAGAGAGCGAGAGATACAGACATCACTCAGCAAAATCCGAGCAGTCGCAAAGCTTCCTCTCGTGCGTGGATGACCTCTATCTGACTCAAAAAGTCTATAGACCAATGAGAGGTAGAGCACTGCTCGACCTGGTACTGGCTACTGGGGATGACCTCATCAGCGACCTAGTGATCAATGGGAAGCTGGGTGACAGCGACCACAAGCTGATCACCTTCGCCATCCGCTGTAAAGCTGGCAAGTCAGTCAGCAACACGGAAGTCCTTTAGAAAAGCTGACTTTGACAAGCTCAGGAGGCTTGTCAGTGAGGCCCTAAGGGATCACGACCCCGGGGGGAGGGGAGTTCAAGAAGACTGGTTGCTCCTCAAGGGAGCGATCCTCAATGCACAAGCTAAGTCTATTCCATCTCGGAGGAAAGGCAGCAAGAGGGCACAGCAGCCCCGCTGGCTCTCCAGGGACCTCCTGAGGCTAAAAGGAAAGGCCTACAAAGGATGGAGAATGGGATTCACCTCCAAGGAGCATTATTCTGCGCTGGTCCGGTCCTGCAGGGAGCAAACCAGGAAAGCCAAGTCTGCAACTGAACTCCAACTAGCTTCCAGTATCAAGGACAATAAAAAGTCCTTTTTCAGATATGTGGGGAGCCGGAGGAAAAGCATGGGCAACACTGGACTCCTGCTGAACCAGATGGGGCAACTGATGCCCAGGAAAAAGCCAACCTATTAAATGGGTACTTTCCGTCAGTTTTTCACCAGTCTCATGGGATGTTCCTGCCCACTACGGGACAGGGAGGTCCAGGTGAGGGAGATCCCCTGCC